GAGGACTGGGACCTGTCCCACGGCTCCAGTCCGGTTCAGTTTTCCTGATGCGCACCGGCGCCCCGCCGGGGATCAGCAGCTCTTGTCTCGGAGTGGCCTCCGCCAGTGCTGCCACCCTGGAAGTACTGGCACCCCGCCATCCAGTGGCCCTGCTGCCCGCAACATAAGCAGAGCGGCAGCGCGCGCCCATCCCTTGTCGACGGCAATGAAATGGGGCAGTGTCGCTTGAGGTGACCCAATTCTCCACAGCCGAAGCATCTGACGCTAGGTGAACCACGGCTACGCTCGGGGCAGTCTCGCTGAAAATGACCCGGCTGCTCGCAGTGGTAGCACCGGGGAAGTCGGCGAGACTTACTCGCATCAGTTGTCGTCTTCGGCGCCATTGTGATGGCCGATATCGACTCGTGTAGCCCGCGAATATGATCTTCGATGGCTGTGAGCCGGTTGTTGTCCGTCACAGTCTTTTCTGCTTGACCCGCGGTTGCTTCACCCCCGACCGGGCGGACCGCCCCGATGACGTCGATCTCATGATTTCGCACTGCCTTGATCGTCTTCCTTGTCTCCTCGAATTCTTTACTAACGCGTACCGCGTCAGTCAGTGTGGATACGTTTTGGTTGATTAACCTCTCTTGCAATTGCGTGTCACGGAGGCCACAGATGAATCGGCCGCACTGGAATCCCTCCATAGCGCTGTGGTCGCTGGGCAGAGCCGGCTGGGCTAGCCCACTCAGCTCTTTGATCCTGGCTGAGAAGTCTTCAACAGACTCCGAAGGTGATTGGCAAACTCGGTTGAGTTCGGCATGAGCCTGCAACGTGCTTATTTGCCGACCGAATCGACTTTTCAGTGCTTCAACCACCCTGCCGTAGTCCTTCCGTGACTCTTCGGTGAGTGACGCGAATGTGTCCAGTGGGGCGTTCCACGACAAATCGACAAGCGCCCTGCACCCTCATATTTTATTTTTTGCTTAAAATTGGTCTAATGGGTTGTGATGGGCGGGGAAGCCAGCTGTGGCAAGGATTTTTTTCTTCGAACAACGGTTTCCGAGATATAGCCTCGGGCAATTCCTGGATGTCGCGCTGCAGCCCTATGTTTGGCGGCCTATAACTCAGAAACTCTTGGTTTTCTACGATAAAAACTTTATATGGTTCAACTCACAATCAACCAACAAACATTTTGGCTATCTCGGATTTTCAATTTTTGAAAATTTTGATCGCGTGACCTTTTGACCTATTTTTCGAAGAGTGACCTTGATATTTTCCCCACTGAAAGTTGCAACTTTGTCTGATGACGAATAAAGCTTTATCAGTTGTCATTTATATGCGAAAATAAAAAAGTGGATATCGCCCTGCGTTGACCTCAGGTCAAGTCATTTTTATGACCTGTCCGTTATTACGAGCGGGAGCGACAGCGAGATCTCGAGAATAAAGCAAGATAGCGACAAGCGGTAAACGGTGCAGGGTACAAATGGATAAGGTCTATAATTTTTACTCAGGTCATTTTCAGGTCAGGTCAAAGATGACGTCACAGGAGCAGAAAGGAAGTCAAAATTGCGGCACCACATATATATGAAGTTTTTCTCGAATAACTTTCAAGGTATTCCAGCTAGGAACAAACTAATAGCACCATCGTGATCCTCTCGTCGATCCGCATCGAAACATATGTATGTTGACCTCGAAAGGTCGAAAGGTCAAAAGTTGACCTAAGGTCACGTGACCTAAGGTCAACTTTTGACCTTTCGACCTTTCGAGGTCAACATACATATGTTTCGATGCGGATCGACGAGAGGATCACGATGGTGCTATTAGTTTGTTCCTAGCTGGGATACCTTGAAAGTTATTCGAGAAAAACTTCATATATGTAGTGCCGCAATTTTGACTTCCTTTTTGCTCCTGTGACGTCATCTTTGACCTGACCTGAAAATGACCTCAATAAAAATTATAGACCTTATCCGTGTGTACCCTGCACCGTTTACCGCTTGTCGCTATCTTGCTTTATTCTCGAGATCTCGCTGTCGCTCCCGCTCGTCACGTGACCTAAGGTCAACTTTTGACCTTTCGACCTTCCGAGGTCAACATACATATATTTCGATGCGGATCGACGAGAGGATCACGATGGTGCTATTAGTTTGTTCCTAGATGGGATACCTTGAAAGTTATTCTAGAAAAACTTCATATATATGTAGTGCCGCAATTTTGGCTTCCTTTTTGCTCCTGTGACGTCATCTTTGACCTGACCTGAAAATGACCTTAGTAAAAATTATAGACCTTATCCATTTGTACCCTGCACCGTTTACCGCTTGTAGCTATCTTGCTTTATTCTCGAGATCTCGCTGTCGCTCCCGCTCGTAATAATGGACAGGTCATAAAAATGACCTGACCTGAGGTCAACGCAGGGCGATATCCACTTTTTTTATTTTCGCATATGAATGACAATTGATAAGGCTTTAATCGTCATCAGACAAAATTGCAACTTTCAGTGGGGAAAATATCAAGGTCACTCTTCGAAAAATAGGTCAAAAGGTCACGTGATCAAAATTTTCAAAAATTGAAAATCCGAGATAGCCAAAATGTTTGTTGGCTGATTGTGAGTCGAACCATATAAAGTTTTTATCGTAGAAAACCAAGAGTTTCTGAGTTATAGGCCGCCAAACATAGGGCTGCAGCGCGACCTCCAGGAATTGCCCGAGGCTATATCTCGGAAACCGTTGTTCGAAGAAAAAAATCCTTGCCACAGCTGGCTTCCCCGCCCATCACAACCCCTTACACCAGTTTTCAACGAAAAATAAAATATGAGGGTGCAAATTTAATTTTTTATTTGTCGATTTGTCGTGGAACGCCCCCAGTGCGACTCCGTCCAAAAGACCCACCATAGCCGCCAGCCGGTCCCCGGCTTTCATGCTCGCCGTCTGAGCTTCGAATCGGCAGAACCATTTCTGCCACACTTCCCCCGACTCTCCACTAAATTTCGAAGCTCTTGAAAGGAAAATGGTAGATAAATCCATAGTTTGTTATACTGAACTCTGCTGGAGAGAACCTCTCACCACCCAAAGTCTCTACTCACCGGCTCCGTCCACCTTTTCCACCGTGAGCTTGCGTAGGCCGTCACAGAACTCTCACAGCAATCTTCTTTCTTAAAAACTCATATGCAGCCCATTTACGTTATTGGTCCTACCGACCGCGCCAAAATATGTTAGGGCCAAGTAAAGCTGCATATACCACGACACGGTGTATTGTGCTTCCAGCGACCGAAGACCAAGCACGGACACGGCGACCCGCCGACCGACCCAGTCCGGTCACGGTCGCGCCCTTATATAACCACGGCACAGAGCGCATGCGCGGCGACCGCGCGGCGGTCACGCGGCTCGCCGGCCGGACGGCCGGGCCGCCGACCCATCCTGTTCCACGGCCCCACACGGCCGGTGCGCGGTCACAATATCCCAACAATAGAAAGGTGTTTTGCGAAACATCAAATTTCCAACATTTGCCTTCGCGAGCGTATGTAGCCTTACTCCTCTGCAGTGATAAACGCCTGTGACCACACCTTAGGTACTTTCTCGAGACTCGAATAATTCTCATTCTTTAACCCGGCAGTTGCTGGGGTATTTCGCCACCCACCGTTTGCTGGAGGGGGGGGGGCGTTAAACACCCCCAGCCAATAACTCGAGAACCAATAGGCGCAGCGAAACGCACGAGGCGGCAAACGAAAGAACGCGACGAGACGCTTCAGATGAGTACTTTACAGTTGAATTTTGAGGTCACAGGTCGGGTCAAGGTCAGGTCAAACACCTGAAATCGGGCTTTCAGTAGCATGAACTTCAGGACTTCGCAATGGGCGCCCCTCGTCATAAACTCTGTCAAAACGGGGGTCAGTCAAGCATAGGTCAGGGTCAAGGTCAGGTCAACCGGGTAGGCACATATCCCCGAAAATCAAAACTGATATTCGCAACCTGTGACACATGTTTTATGGGTAATTTTGGGCGTAGAACACGATTGTGACATTCATTTTATCATATGTGTATGTACGTGTTTGGTTCAAAAAGTTCAATTTAAGAAATGCATGTATCATGTGAAGTAGTCACGAGAAATTGCCAAGATTCAGTTCAAGATTTTGTAAAATGGGGAACGATAATCTATAGATATCCATTTGATTGTTCATGGTATTGGCAGTCTAATGGCGTTTACGGCATGTCTGTGTGTCTATTCTGTGATTTTATATGATTTTTTGAACATATGCCGTTTTTGGTCGAAGACTCAGAAATCATGACGTCACTAAAACCTCGATATCTCAAAAATTTTCCGACCGATCTTTTTGAAACATTGTCAGAATAAACTTCAATCGATTCCCTGGCCTACAGGTACCCAAATTTTGGCCGCCTACGGCGCGCCGTTTTCATGCTATGGCGCGGCGAAAAAAGTGGGGGCGTTTAACGCCCCCCCCCCCCAATAACTCGCGGGTTAATGGTCACCAGGTATAATAATGGAGAATCTGGTAAATTTGATGTTTGATGTGTCTTAAACCTTATCTGTGGCCTACACAGTTGCTGAGACAAAAATGTTTTTGATCTTGAGGTTCGTCTTGTTGACATTTCCTTTTCCCGTTCTACCGTTTTTCTACCCCAGTTCTACAAACATTAGATGAGGCGGCATCTCTCACCAACAAGTGTGGTCGGCAAAAATCCTCCAGCGCAGCACGGTGCAGGTTAAAGAAAGGTGAGTGCTATGTTAGAATCATTATCTCACTTTGGAAACGATAAAAACCGAAAAACCAAATGTCAAAACTTTCAAAATCCAATCTTATTCTTTCTTCATTTGTTGGTTCAACTTGATTTGAAACATTTCATGCAAACCTTATCTGCGACAATAGATGCGTATTTGTGAATAGTCAACTAGGATGGTGCATTTAACTTCGATTAATGACTTGTCGTATAAGGTGGGATATGACTAGGTAAAAAAGAGAAAATTCAAAATGAGGTGTCCGTGTGTTAATCCATCATCAGTTCAGCTAGGTAGTTTTTATTTGACAGAGAAGCACGGCCATAGGAACACAGTCAATGCACCATCACAAAACCCACATAAAGTAGCAATGAAGAGGTTATGGAACAGCCAGTCAACGCACCGACTACATACACATCGTTCGATTCCTTTTTATGCCGATTAGCAGTAGTATCCGTAGTGGCATCCGTATCTTCCCCTGCCGCCAAAGTTGCCGCGGAGTCCAAGGCCGAAGCTGCTGCCGAGTCCAAGGCCGAAGTTGCTGCCGAGTCCAAGGCCGAAGTTGCTGCCGAGTCCAAGGCCGAAGTTGCTGCCGAGGCCAAGGCCGAAGGCACTGTTGATTCCACCAAAGCCGTGGCCAAAGTTTCCGCTGAATCCGTGGCCGAAGCTGCCGAAGTTTCCGAAGCCATTGCTAAAGCCATTCAGACCACCGAAGGCGCTCAGTCCACCGAAGCTGTTCAGTCCACCGAAGCTATTCAGTCCACCGAAGCTGTTCAGGCCACCGAGGCCGCTCAGGGCACGGAAGCCACCCCGGTGGTAAGGGTAGTAGTAGTTGTTCTTGTAGTAGTAGTAGGGGGAGAAGCTGGCAGCGGCAGCAGCCACCAGGGTGAGGAGGATGACCAGCTGAAAAAGAAAATAGACGTTACATGTTTTCTGTAATACACACAACTGCACACAAAGTTAATTAACCCGCGCCGGGCCGGTGCTCTGAGATTCCGCGCCGGGCCGGGGGGAGTCTGAACACCCCCCCCCCCCTTCTAACACGGCTCCTGGGCCACGTAGCGACACGCGGTAAGCGGCAATCGAAAGAACGTCCAAAATAAGGACGAAAACACCTCGGTCATTTTTTGGGTCAGGTCAAAGGTCAGGTCACCAAAGGTCACCAAAGGTAAAATGTTGACTATTTCAACATTTTGGAAACTGCCAGCGGCTATCTCGGGAACCGATAGAGCTACAGCGCCGCGGAAAAGCGCATTCGATAGCCCTTTTACAGGCCTTTCTGATTAATGCTCTCAGATTTGACCTCAGGTCAACGGTTTAGCCTCCAGAGGGCAAAAACTCCAAAAATAGCCGTTTTTACGAAAAACGTTTTTTCGGCCATAACTATGACTCAAAAGAGCCATGACATTACTTTTGCCAGCATCGTGTTCCTCTCGTCGAGACGCGTCGAATGAACTATAATTTGACCTTGAAAGGTCAACTTGAAAATTTGACCTCAGGTCAAGGTCATGACCTGACCGAAAAAGGTCATGTTGCATATCAGTCGATCCGCAACGTCGAGCCGAACACATCTAAGGCGTACAAATGTGAACAGACTGGTGAATCACAAATTTTATTTTTCACGGCACTTGTTCAGTGTCAGTGCACGTTACCTTCATGATGACGTTGAAGTGAAGGTTCTGGAGCTGTGCTGCCGCTATCTTTGGACTGTGATGATGGAGTGAATGATGGAAACACCGAAACGCTTTTATATCAGAACTGGGCTCGATACAGGAAAATGTTTACAGCAATGGTTGTGTCAAACGGCATCGTCATCACTGGCCGTGTTCTTAGCTAAGCACGTTCCCAGAAAGACATATGCTTTAAAGTTTTAAACACCGGTCATTGCACGCTGCTCAGGTGTCAGCACATGTTAAGAAAACAACCAACAATTTCCTTCTCAGGTAGAAGCAAGCGTGACAAGGAGATTGGTGATAACTGAAAATTTATTGCATTTCATTTTTTGAAAGGAGCTCTGCTTTACGGCCCTGTATATAACTGTTTATACTTTATAGGGTGTCGCAGAACATGTGCTTTTAAACATGCGTTTACTGTTAAAAAAGTGTAATTGCACTCGATTCTAATGAGATACGGGAACAGCCATACGGCCATACGCTTGATTTTTAAACTTGGAAAGGTTCTTACTATACCGATGTGATCCCTGGTACATTGCCTTTTATTTCCACTGCGTTTCATTTCCAAATGCGTTCACACGTGGGAGATATTAACAAAACTTTGAACCTATGCATATTGGCCACTTTGCCTCATACCCTGGGGTAAAGCGGCCACCGGCGTCTTCTCAAGTCCAGGTATGATTCATGATGCAACGGAATAGTTGCATCATGTACGACAAGGGTATTTGATGGTGACAAGGTTTAAGCGAGGATGGATGTTTACTTTGTCATCTTCCAACCTGTAGGTAATCACTAGAAAGGATTTTCATGGAAAACATTTTATTGCATTATTTGGTAACTCATATAACCGAAAAGTGGCCAAGATGAACGCATGACGGCACATTTGAATATAAATGATGTTTTTTATCCAGATGGAAACAACTTATGGCCTATTAGGGGCTGGCCACTTCGCCCCGGCCACTGTGCCCCACGCATACCGTCCGAGACAAAAATATTCCAGGGTAAAAAAGCATTAACCCTCGCACGACCAGGCCATTTCTCATAACACGAACGACCAGGGGGGGGGGGGTGTTACGACCCCGCTGGTGTTTCGAAACGGAAGGTCGTAGAGCTTAGCGGAAAAAACCAACGGATTGCTCTCAACGAGATCTCGCGATTGGTGGTATATTTTTTGGTCCTAGGTCAACATTTGACCTACTTTTGACCGGTCAAAGGTCAAATTTTCGGAAAAATAGACTTTTTCAACTTTCCGCGGCGATTGCGGCAAAACGGTGGGAGATATCGACTTGAAACCTTCACTATCGTGTTCCTTGATCAATTCTCTATCGTTTGGTATGTATTTCGTTTCCCTAGCTCTAAAAATGGCGCGTTGGGAGCGCCGGAAGTCGGCAAGGTCACAGTCGGCGGCAGAAATTCGAAAAATCAAAATTTTTGATTTTTGATTTTGAAATTTAAATTTTTGAAATCTGATTGTATTTTTGGATTTGGAAGGTCCATTTCCTCCTTATAGAAGCTAATATTGCTGCATATTCCCATTGAGGTGACAAGAATTAGCAAAATAGTGGTTCGGGCGCTTTTCAAAAAATAGTACCGGACGCTGTTCCTCTTATGACGTCATAACTCCGTGACCTGACCTGACCCGGTCAATTTTCTTGCACCACACGATAGCCAATGCTTGCCCCAACATGCATGGGAAGTTTCATCATGATCCATCAAACAATGTGGGTATCACCGGCAGAAAACCTAGGGATTCGGCGCACACGTTTGGTAACTGTCGGCCGGAGGCTGTACCTCTTATGACGTCATAACTCCGTGACCTGACATGACCCGATCAATTTTTTTCGGCAAAAGATGCGCAAAGGTTGCCCCAGAGGGTATTTAAAATTTCAGCCCGCTACGACAAGCCGTTTAGCGTGCACTTCGAAAAAACCTCAGGGGGGGTTGATACAACCCCCCCCCCTAGGCGTTCTAGGGTTAAAATTGGTGGAAGACATGTACTTTAACCACGCAATGCATGAACAAGGACGCTTATAAAATTTCTAAACGGTTATGGAATAAAATAACATTTAAAAATTGTAAACATAGTTAGTAACCTGGCGAGCAATGTTTTTCCGTGTTTCACAGAACAATGGCGATGGGCCTGAAACCCCGGTCTGGCTCATTCGAACGACCGCGAAGAGAAGTATAATTGGAAACCATAAATTGGAACTGACGCCAGCTGTGGAGGGCTCAAACGATGGGTGGCCGCTTTGCCTCGGGTGGTCACTTTGCCCCACTGTCCCCTACTTCGCATCAGGCGTCGGGATTCGGAGACAACGAAACAGTGGTGCAAGCATTATTTCTCGGGCTTTGAGAAAATGCTTAATGACCTGGGAATATGTGATTCGATCACCATGGCCCATGCGATCATAGATCCAACATATGTTTCCCTGTGTGATCAGACGGGATCGATACATCCTAAATTTTAGCTTGCCTTGGTTGGGACTCACCCTGGTCGCAGATTCAACACCCGAATCGTATGCATGTCAGCCACTCAAGCAGTCGCCCTGGTGGGAATGTAAGTACCCATACTACCGGCTGCCTGGTGAGTGACTCTGACCGGACATGGGGGTGTGACCAATTAGATGTAGGCATGACATGATTATTATCTCATTCTACTTGATTATTGAATCAGCGTGATTAAGCCGTAGTCGCCACGCTATACATATGTGGGAGGCTTTTGATGTCAATACAATACATACATGCATACAAACATAAACAAAACTACCTACAAAGTCTACTTATATGTTCTTGTATATACCAAACAGTGGAGCTGCTGAGGCTTTGTTGCTATTTCGTCAGATATCACTCCCTTTAAAGGGACTATCCCACCTTTAACATGGGGTTTGAGTTGAGATAGCCAAGTTTGCGGCGAGGTTCAGAAACCACTATCTATCTAGGTTGCAACCCCCGCGGCCTCTTGGTGTTGAAGAAATTCGTTCCCTTCATTTGAAAATGGGCCTTGTGCAAGGCCCTATCTTCAACATGGAGCGACCGTTAGTGTGACGTCACCTCGTTTAGTCATTCTGATTTAAATGGGTTTGTTCGTTGAAAAATCGCTTAAAACTTGGTCTGAACTTTGTTGTGGTGCCTACAGAGTAAAAAGAATCAGCTTTATGACAGTAATGTGGCCTGGGGAAGGAGGTAATTTTGGGCTTTGACGTCACATATTTGAAAGTTTGTGTTTGGAATATGGGAAGCTTAAGATGTGTAATGAAAAATAAATGCCAGAACCGTGTTCCTGGTCATCCAATCTATAAAGTCGGGCACTATTTAACTGGTTTTAACAACATTTTAGAAGGTGGGATAGTCCCTTTAACCACTTCTCCCAGGTTCCATTAGTTATCGAGTATATCGTCCAGTCCCGGACCGTCCCTCCAATCAGGGTCTCTCGAAGGGCGAATTCGATGTCCGCGGCGGCCGGCGACACTTTTCAGACATCTTTCTGCATTATACTAGTTCAGTGTGGACGCGCGACTCCAACCATGTGCGGATCAAATGTAAGCTTTTACATAAAAGCGTCTGTACAGGGTGGGGCAGCATAATCGGGAATAAATATCAAACGGGATTATTTGGTCATGAATTTAAAAATATAGCTCCAAGCACTATTTTAACAACATCCCATCAATCGGTCACCTTTTACCTATCCCTCATCCTATTTGACCGCCCTTCGCGTCGATGACCTTCTCAAGGCGGGTCCAAAAGCACGCGCATGCACGTGCAGCCTCCTGCTTGTCCATGATCGCCCATCAGCTTCGTACCTTGCACTGAAGACCGTTTTTACTGATGATAAGTTGTTCATTAAACTTCTACCAAAAAACGCTCCATATAAAGAATTTGGTCGGATTTAAATCGGCGGAGTTGAAGGACCAGAAGTTTTTGGTTCATCTCAGGTGGAGGTGCCCTACACAATAACATGTCGTCCTCACTGCAGTACCAGCACGGACAGAGTCCTCGTAAGACGTGATCTGGACCGTCAGTGATCCTCTCTTCCGACGACTCCACGTGAGTCTGCCAGAGTGTGGATGTATTTACCAGAGGTGCTCGTTTTATCCGGGCTCGATGAAGTAGGGTGCACCACGTGCACCTCCCTTGAAGACCACCCATAGGTCCATCACCTCAACAGGATGTTTACTTTGCATGACCGCTGCAATATTCTCGATACAATCCCCTATATGGCATGCCATTCTTTTTTATCGTATTCCAGTCGGTGATAAGATTTTTGGTCGCTGAAGTTTTGAACATTGTTTCTTTTTAATATGCTCAAGAGCTTCTTCCTTATATTCAAGTGAGTCATCTTGTATGTCCTCTGCTAAGAGTTATTTTACGACGATTACGTTAACTTTTTGTCCTAAGTATCCCCACACAATCCTTATCGTCCGTGATAACACGTTGACCTGTCCAGCAACCTTTACGTGGAATGGCATTGTTTTAAACAAAATGTTCTTGTTTTACTCGTTTAACATTAGTGTCTATGGGCGCGCGCAAAGCACTTGGAGCACCGTCGAACTATTTTGCTGCTCTTTTCCAGGAAGTTGCATGCTCATGGATGTAGTCATGTCAGATGATGCACAACTTTTGGGCGTTTCATTGCCATGATATAATTTATCAAAATAATGCCATGCCTACTCATGACCAGAGCCCAAAAAGCATTCCCGATTATGCTGCCCCACCCTGTAGGTAGGTACAACGTTGATAATTGATATCTTTGGAAACACGCTTCATCAGAAACACGCTGTGATGTTTTCGTTACGTGGATGAAAAAGTTGATTAGGTATGAAATGTTTAATTGTGAGCCCTTTTTCCATCGAACAACCATTTCCAGCAACTGTTTCCGACATAATGATATTTTGCGACGAAGAATGCATGGATTGAACAATCGTATGGTAAATAATATTTTCGCCCATTCGAACGACGTCAGCAAAACACTAATGACCAAATATTCTTCGAAACATTCAATAAAAAGATTGACATGGCATATAAAACATTTTAGAAAAGCATGTACTAACAAAGCATTGTGTAGATGAAATA